CATCAGGAGCTCATATAGGGACTAGTGTGAAAATGAATAACATGATAACCATCAATCTAGAGCTTGTGTGGAAGCCACTACAGTGAGATAATTAGTATAATAAAGGGTAATTCACTAAGGTTATACAAAATGTGATAAGGTAGGGATACCAACAGAATTCTAGAAATAAGCAACACTCAAGAAATAAGGAAAAATGATTCCTTAATGGAAAATTTTTTTAAGTCATCAGAGAATTTTCATTCACATCATGAAAAAATAATATAAAGGCAAGGAAAATATTTCAAATTTCTTTCAAAGAGTCAGACTTTAACTTTTGCCTTCACAAATCAAATTAGCAAAACAATAAAAATGTAACTGCCAAAAGAATGGAAATGAAAAAGAATCTTCCTGTGTAATGAAAGTAAGAAAGTGAGGCACCTACATGTCCCATACAGTGAGGACTTTCTTACAAAATAATATAATGGGGTGAGATGGAAAGAAATTACCAGGATCTAAGTCATCAGTACTGTTTTTAAAAAAGAAATGAGGTAAACACTGAATATTTAATGGTACCACTCATTGCTCTAAGCAAGTTACAAAAACCAACTCATTTAAAAAAAAAAAAAAACAAAACTATCATGCAAGGAAATAGGCAAAATTTTAGGGGATAAAACTGACAGAGTTTAACTTGATCATGGTGCCACCAAAAGTGGTAGAGTCAGGATTGAAGCTTAAGTCTTTTTGCCTCCAAAATCTGTGCCTTTTATCACTACATTGTCAGAAAGAACTAATGGAAACACACAAAGGATAGTTTCTCTGTTATTGTCCCAGAATGTGGAGAATGAAGGAATTAAGGAAAGTGGAATAAGGCAGTAAATAAAGAATAATTTGATACATTTGAATATAAGCACTAACTGAAAAGTTCTAGAAAATAAAGGTTCTAGAAGACATGGGATCAACAAAAGACATTATCATCGAAAGGAGTTTTTCATTTTTTGAGACGAGTAAAGACTTACTTGAAGAGCTATGAACCCACAACTTCTAAGATTTGATCAAATTTAGTATCACCGGTAGTGGGTCAAACTAAAATCATGTGTTCTTTGATATGAACAATAGAAGAATATACCACCACCCATACTATTCCTGCCAAATATATTTAAACTTAGCCTAATCCTGACAAAACAAATCCAGAATGTTGGACATTCTACAAGATAAACACTCTAGACACTTCAAAAATGTCATTGTGAAACACAAAAACAGGTAAAGGGAATACTGCTCTACTTTAAAGAAGTTAAAAAGGGGCCTCCCCAGTGGCGCAGCAGTTGAGCACTGGGTTGAGAAGCTGCCTGAAGCCTCTGCAGCACTGGTTTGATCCCCGGCTGCTCCCCAGCAACTGGAGGAGGGTCCCACATGGCGCGCAGACCTCTCCTGCCACCCGCTGCTCCCCTCAGCAGTGTACTTCGGTCCTTCTGCCTGCTCTGCTCCCTGCTCTGGCCCTGGTGAATTCTCTCTCTCACCCTCCTGCGCTTCTGATTGTACCCAGCGCTTGTATAAATAAATAAATCTTTAAAAAAAAAAGAAGTTAAAAAGATATGTCCTTTCTCAGCCAAGAATTCTCAGTCCTCTGTAATCAGTAAAGGCCTTTCACCAGGAACCAAACCTGCTGGTACCTTGATCGTGGATTAACCAGCCTGCAAAACTGTGAGAAATAAATGTTTGTTTTTCGGGGGAAGAAAAAGATAGGCTCACCCAACAGATTATGTGACTTATTTGAGTTACTAGTCAATTTTTAAAATAGACATAGAACATTTGGGCAACAATTGTGAAAATTTACATATGGGTATATATTTTAGGATAGGAATCCAAGTTAAGTTTCAGTACTGCAGTTATATGGGAGAACAATCTTGTGCCTAGAGATGCATGTCGAAATTTCGGTGGTGAAATAAATGATGTCTGCAGCAAAAATCAAAAATAAGTAAAGATGGGTAGGCAGACATTAAACAAACAATATTAAATATTAATATTAAAGACTGATGATCTAGGTGTATATAGTGTACATGATTACACTTCTTTTAGATTTTCTGTAGCCTTAAAATTTTTCAGAATAAAAATTTAGGGAATAATAATCATAAAAATATGAGTGCCATAATTACTTTCCTGGGATCGCTGATTAAATATATGACTTATATGTACCAGTATAAATACATTCTATTAGAAGAAGGTCAAAATCCTAATAATCACAGAATATACTTACCAAAGCTGTTCAACGACTGCCACTACCACAGAGCTGAATCCATATGTTCGGCTTGGCTGAAGAGATAACTAATCAATACAGGGCTGCAAGGTCAAGATGGGTCATGAGGACATAACTCTGGAGTCGCCAGTTGATGAGTAAGGCACCTAAGTCCTATGAACAATTATTGTCTGATCATTCTCTTCTCTGTACAATCTTCCAAAAAGCTATATATTTCTGAGTTCTGTTGTTTCCATGGAGTTTAGATTCCTTGGCTCGCTTTCTTGTTCCAAAATCTTCAAGGTTACCATTTTCTTTTGAATTTTCGAATTAAAATTTAAACATAAGATGTTTTGCTTGAAAAGAAAAAAAAGAAATTATCAATAATATGTAAAGTTCCTTTTGACAATTCTCCCTCATTACAGTTCTCTCCTTTTACCCAAAGGTTGCCATTGACAGTTTAGTGTGTATCCCCCGCCATAAAATATATACTATTTTTTATATTAAATCTATCACACAGCATGCTTTTTAAAAAAGTATTCTTCAGACCCTGCAGTTCTGTATGTATAATGGTTCTAAACACTATAGGTAAATGTACTTCTTTGTGATACTGTTAAAACGACATGTATTTTCTGGGCCTCCCCCGTGGCGCAGCGGTTGAGCGCTGGGTGGCGAAGCTGCCCTCAGCCTCTTCAGCGCAGGTTCGATCCCCAGCTGCTCCCCGGCCACCGGAGGAGAGTCCCACATGGTGCGCAGACCTCTCCTGCCGCCCGCTGCTCCCCTCAGCAGTGTACTTCAGTCCTTCTACCTTTTCTGCTCCCTCCTCTGGCTCTGGTGAATTCTCTCACCCTCCTGCGCTTCTGACTATACCCAGTGCTTAGGTAAATAAATAAATAAATCTTTAAAAAAAAAAAAAAACTACATGTATTTTCTCTAAATAACACGTTATACCTATTCATAAAAAAATGTCACAAGTTCAATATACAAGAAACCCGTCCCCATGAAATATGTTCAACCCAGAATAACAATTCCTGGTTTTCATTTTAAAACAGCCCTCCTTTTTCTTGCATGCAACCAACAGCTATTCGAAAACCAAGAGACAACCCAGAAATCAAACATGGCTTGAAATTAATGCATGCTGTGCAATTCGAAATCAAAATGTGTCATCTCTAAAAGATCCCAAATCTACATGTGCCATTTACACTTTTAACAAAATTTTTGCTCCACTTAGACCCACTCTTACTATGTAATCTGGCCACCTTAGTTTCACACAATGGCTCACACACAGAGGTTCATTTATTCAACAATACTGACCACCAAACTTGCTACTCCAGTCGCACTGTCACAAAGAGATCAAAATAATGGCAACATATGGTCCTGTGTGTCGGAGCAAGTTTAATGACTCCCCCCCACCCCGCCCCGCTGAAAGAGTCCGCGTGTGTAGCTTACAAATTTGTGATTTATTTCAAAGGGGACAGGGTCACAAGGTCTCGAAATAAGCGAAAACAAGTTCCCACTAACCAACAAACTCTACAGTCTTAAACTGAGTTCTCTCTGAGCCAAGACTTCCTCATCCCAAACTGGGGAGAAACATCGACCTACAATTCAGGAAACGTGACTAATGCTGAACTCTGCTAAAATTCACTCTTCTAGGGATAGTTATTAGTCGATGGACATTACCCAATAATGCCTCCCTAGTATAATAAAAGAACGGATGATTCCTTTGGTGCGCTGTGGCTGAGAAAAAGTTACCCCAGGACTAGTTTTCAAATAAACTTTCTTGAAAAGAACCCCGCAAACCAAAAGAGAAGAATTTTTGCATTTTCCCAATAACACATGGATTTGATCCAATAGAAAAATCGAGTCTGAACTCATACCAGATAAACAGTCTTTCCCAGATCATCAAGTTAGTGTTCATGAAAGAAATAATTTGGCCATCATTTTCTCACGATCATACACACACTCATTTGCTACTGGAACTCCTGCACTCAGAAATACAATCACAGGGGCCTCCCTGGTGGCGCATGGGGTTAAGTCGCAGCACTATGAAGCTATCCGCAGCCACTGCAGCACGAGTTCGATCCCCCATTGGCCTGGGAGCTACCCACAAGGTGCAGCAGACCTCTCCTGTCTTGTCTCGCCCACTGCTCCCCTCAGCAGTGTATTTCAGTCAGTCTGCCTGTTCTGCGCCCCACTCTGTCTCTGGTGAATCCTCTCACCCCCCCTCACACACCTCTAGCCTGTACCCCAGTTTTTGCATGCATAAATAAATCTTCAAACAAAAACAAAAGGGAAAGAAATGCAATCACTTAGAGGGGCACAAATCACCACCAGCACCACACACACAAAAAAAGCCCCAACAGTAGAGGGCCCTGGGTCTGTCAGGCAATCCCACACAGTTCTAAGGTGCCAACACCAGGCAGCTTCGAGCACGAATCCCCGACACCCGCAGAATCAGACACAGGTAGAAATAGAATCGTACCCACGGCCACTGAAGGGCGCCCAGTCCGCCGGACACCTCGCGGGGTCCCACACATACATCCCCAGGCCCCAGGGGCCGGCCTGGCCGGGCACGCCGAGAGCCCCAAGCAGCACGCAGCTGCGGCCGGGCCCGCCGCGTCGGCTCCTCTCCAGCCCCCGGCCCGCGCCCGCTCTCCCTCAGCCGCGGGCGCCGTCGCACTCGACGCCTGCGCAAAGAGCGCTTTCGGGCGCTCCCAGGAGCCCCCGCGGCCGGGCGGGGCGGGTGAGTGGAAGCCACCGCCCCGCGCTGGACTACATTTCCCAGAGGCACCGCGCGGCTTACGGGCTCCGTTTCCGCTTGTTCTCGATTTGGGGTCCTCGCGTGGAAAAAGGGCTGTGTCCCTTGGAGGATCTTGGCCCGGGTCCGGCGGGGCGCGCGAACCCGAAATCAGGTTTGAACCCCTGACGCCAGATCCTGGATCCTGAAGTACACCGTCGGTGGAGGTGAGGGTCGGGAGGCCAGGGAAAACTGTCGCTGGGGTTGGCTGTGTGGCCGATTGTCCAGCGGTTTTGTGTGAGCGCGATCGCCTGCTTGAGCGTGGTGAGTGCGTGGGCGAATGGGCGTGTGCGAGTGGTTTTGTGTAAGCACTGGTGTGAGTGTGAGTTGCCGGTGACTGCGGGTGTGATAATACTGATCTGGCAGTGTGTTTGTGTCTGATTGCATACCTGAGAATGTGCTTGTGTGACGGTGTGATTGTGTGTTTACTGAGTGTATTACTGGGGATTGCTTGTGACTGTGACGTGTGGCGATGCTGTTGTGACAGGGTGTTTGAACGTGCTTGTGTGACTTTGAGGTTGTGTATGTGACTGCTATCAGGTATGTTACTGAGGTTCGCCTGTGACTTTGAGGTGTTATGATAGTGTTGCCTTGACACGGTGTTTGTGACTGCTTGTTTCTTTGACTAGTCCTTGCTGGGTTTTTCTGACTCTCTGATCGGGTGACTGTGCACACAGGTATGGGATTGTGTGTGCTGTTTCCACGACTGTGTGAAGAGAGCAACAGGGTTTTTGGGGTTGTTTTTTTTTTTTTGGCAGGTACTTGGGTGAGTACTTGGGTGTGATTGAGTGACTGAGTTGGGTGTGATTAGGTTTTGTGTAAAACTAGGTGATCTGAATAATGTAACCTTGTTCCCCTGTGTCACTTTGTGTGATCATTTGTATATTTTATAACTTGTGACTTTATGGGAGTTTAATGGGGTCCAGAGATAAAGTTGCGTTTTGGTATCACGGGGTTTGTTCTGGAGCTGAGACTGCCTGTAGATCATGAGTCCCATGTGGCTTTGTTCTCTGCGGATTTGACTTCTTTCTCTTTTGACCGCAGTGACAAAAGTCCCCTCCCACTCACACAGAGAGCCTGATTGCCTTATTTCTGTATCCATCTTTAATTCACTCTGGGATTGTAGTTATAGGTTCCTGCTGATTCCTCTTTCCAGTGCCCTCTGACCTTATAACCTTAAAGGTATGGGATACTGAGAAGTGACAGGAAGTTGAAAAGTGGATCTTCTAAGCCACAGACCTAGTTTTAAGATGAGAATTTTAGATAGAGCTGCTAGCACCTTCAAGACAGGCCACTTAGAAATGTAATGGGTTTTCAGGAGGGAATACAACACCCCCCAAGCCCCACCCCCCCACCCCCGCCCCGCTGCCAGTGATTATATAAGCTCTAGCCACAGACTTTGGAAACTGTGGCACACCAATGTATAACTCTGTCTCCAGAGGATAGCTTTGAATCCAGAAATAAATTCTAGCCCAAGACCACTACGATCTTGGCCTTCATTTTAATACAGAAAGTGCTGAATTGTTCTATGTTCTAGTCTCCTGACTTTCCTGTAATTAAATAATCGGTTGATTGGGAGGGAGGAGAGGGTGTGGTCTAATTTAGAGTATACCCTAAGAAGGGTCTGGTACCTCACGATTCCATTTTCTTTCCCTGAAAGCAGAGCCCAGAGAAGCGAAGAATGGCAGCTACACATTCAAAAGCAAAGTCCGAGGTGAGTGAATATTGCCTGTCTGTTTACTGTTATTTCAGAACATAGGAATCTTTTTTTGTCTTTTTGAGATTTTCTAGCTAAACCTCCAAATGATGGAGAGGTAAGCAGCATTCTGGTTTTTTAACTTTTGGGGTTAATTTTCAAACATATACAAAATACTCAAACATATGTAAATATCTATTTATGACTAAACATGTTTTATCTCTACCTCTGCCACTTCCCCCTCCTCAGAAATATGGATTATATACTTCCCCCTCCTCAGAAATATGGATTATCTCGAAGTAAATTCTAGATACATAATTCTATCCACAAATATTTTAATATTTGTTTTTAAAAGCTAAGAATGTTTATTTAAAATAGCATAATCACAATACTTTCAACTGCTAAAAAAAACAACTTAATACTCTTACTGTCATGAATAGCCAGTGAGTGTTCAAATTTCCCCTTTTGTCCATATATTTTTTTATATGGTTTGTTAGAAATAGGATCCACGTGGTTTAATTTAGTGGAATAGTATGATACATTCCTTAGATCTTTCTTTCTCTTTTCTTACAGTTATTTGTTCCAGAAATAGATTTTTAAAAAATAAAGTTATCCAGGGCCTCCCCGGTGGCGCAGCGGTTGAGCGCTGGGTTGCGAAGCTGCCCGCGGCCTCTGCGGCGCCGGTTCGATCCCCCGCTGCTCCCCGGCCACCAGAGGAGGGTCCCACATGGCGTGCAGACCTCTCCTGCCGCCCGCTGCTCCCCTCAGCAGTGTACTTCGGTCCTTCTGCCTGCTCTGCTCCCCGCTCTGGCTCTGGTGAATTCTCTCACCCTCCCGCGCTTCTGACTGTACCCAGTGCATGTATAAACAAAAACAAACAAACAAACCAGCAAACAAATAAATAAAAGCATGCCTCTATAAAAAAAAAAAAAAAAAAAAAATAAAGTTATCCATATTTGGGATTTTGTCAACTGCTCATATATGGTGTCATTTAACAGGATCCTCTACCCCTACATTTCTTATGAACTGTTAGTCAATTCTAGAGACTTGATTGCTTTAAGTTTTTTTGTGTTTTTATTCATTTTACACCTCTATATAATGGGGTGTCCATCTCTAAGTGGTGCCTAATTAGTTGATTGTTTTGCTTTATGTGATATTAGCAGCCATTGAGCATCTTTACTTGGATCCATCATTTTAGCAGAAGTTACAAAATGATATTCTGTCATTTCTTTTGCATTTACTAGTTGGAGCACTTCTGTAAAGAAAGTCATCTCGCCATCAGTGTTAGTACTCCGAAGTATAGCTTATACCCAAAAAAAAAAAAAAAAAAAAAACACAAAAAACAAATAGCTGGGTGCTTTTGAATGTTAAAGTAATTAGCCTGAGAATGAAGCCTTCTGGCTTTCGAAGGATTAAAGCTCTGGATCTAGAGCAAAGGTTAGACAGCTTTTCTGTACAGGACTACATCATATGTAGACTTATTGGGATTTATAGTCTCTATTGCAGCCATTTAGCTCTGCCACTGTAGTGTGAAAGGAACCAAAGACAGTAACAAATGAGAATGTTTCCCAGTAAAACTTGATTTATAGAAATAGTTGCTGGGCAGTACTTTGCCAACTCCTGATCTAGATATACGTCAATACATAACAAAGAATCATTCCGTGACCTGCAATATGAGGACTATAGTTGAGGGGGGGAAATCTGTTTATAATTATTTGGGTCTAGAACCTCTCCTATAAAGCATTTTTTACATGATTTTTTCAAATTGCTGAATTGATTTATTTTACTATTTTGTATTATTGCATCGTTTTACTATTAGCTAAATCTTCCAAGAATGCTACTATAGTTTGATTGAAAAAATACTGTATTTTGGTCTATTGAGAAATTTATACTGAGGGTTTTTTTTTTTAACCATTTATGAAAGCAAATAATAGCACTGGTGGTAACACTGCTTGTAGTATTTTACTGGCCAATATGACTGGCCAAATTGCAATACTTATAAAAACTTCTTTTTGTAGATAATGAATTTCATTGGTTCTGTGAACACATACATGTAAACATATACATATCTATATATAACTTTTATTCCAAAGTTTCAAATGAAATATTTCAATACTACTTAGTTGAATATTGTTATCTTATAAATCTAAATTTGTTGTAACTAGTTGTTAGAAGCATAAGTATTTAATTATCTGTGCTTTCTAATATAGTTGTATATGATCATTAATAATCATTAATATATGGAAATATAGCACTTGGTCATCTATTTTTGGCATACTGAACATAAATGTGTCATTATCAATCAGTTTCATTTCAAAAATAATAAAGAAGTGTCATAAATACATATTTTTTGTATATAAAGAACGTTGAGTTTGACCAGGGTAAAAACTACTGTATTGTCTCTGCTTAGTGTGTAATTTGGGGCTGGCAGTCATAGACAGGAAAAGGAAAGCAATGGATAAATCTAACTTAATCATTTAGAGCCTTACAGAAAACACAGTGTCTTGGTTCTGTTTTCTCTCCTCCAGCTCTGCCTTTTCCAGACTCTGTGTTTCTCTAAGATAACAATCCAGAAGAGGATGGATCATTTCTTACAGCTCTGAAAGCCATGGATTCGGTAAATTGTGTCCTTTTTAAATAGTCACATTTTTACAGAGTATATACATATTTACATTCCTTATCCCTGAGAGTTCTGCCTAACTAACTCCACTCTGGAATGTGCTCTCCAGTTTGTTCCATTCTTACACCCAATCAGTCTTTCCTAAGTATGTTTTTCAGATCTAACCTGTATTCACATACAAATTAAAAATCCATTGAGCCTCTCTGACTGCTCTAACTAAAGCAGACACCCTAAATTTATAACCTAGAGAAGAATGTTATATGGTACCACAAATGAGAAAAATTTGAACTTCTTTTTAGACCTAAGTTTCCCATTTGGACAAGATAGGAGTTGGCTTTGACCAAGTCTGTCTCCAAACTGATAAACCAAACTCCAAACAGTCATACCAAACTGACCAAGAATTCATGTTTTGTGAGCTTTTGAGATTAAGAATATGATTAGGGACTCAACACAGAAAGATCAGGACTCTCCCAGGACTCTGTCACTGACAACTACCAATGATGATAATAATAATAGGGATCTTTTTGAGATTCAACAGTATGTGGTAATCTTGAATATGTACGTTTAGATTATCTTTTACACCTTTCTGTTGCTTAGAACAAGGGAAAGGTACATTTATAAATGATGAATAGTAGAAACAAGAATGATTCCTAGTAACGAAAAGATTACCACTCTCATACAAAAGTTGTTGAGCATTATGAACTCCCAGAAGAAATGCTTATGAGATTTTTATATAATCGAAAATGTTCAAATAGGTGCACTGATTAAGTCAGATATATTCACCATACAGAACTATGCTATCCTGCGAGCTGTTAAAAATATTAACTGCATTAAGAAAATGCTTATGCTATAATCTAATGATGAACTTGAGGTTTCAATAAATTCTTTAATTTTATGAACATTTCATTTTAGAAGATAGAGATTTTATATGATTTTACAGACAAATGTCCCTAGTTACTTTTCTTAAACAGCACTGTGAAGCTATGGGCAGCCACTACAGCACAAGTTCAATCCCCAGCCAGGGAGCTGACCGACATGGCGCAGCAGACCTCTCCTGTCTTGCCCGCTGCTCTCCTCAGCAGTGTAATTCAGTAGATCTGCCAGTTCTGCTCCCCACTCTGCCTCTGGTGGGTCCTTTCAACCCCGCCTCCCGGCCCCCCACACCTCTGGCCTATACCCCAGCTCTTGTATGCATAAATAAATAAATCTTAAAAAACAACAGAAGAATGAAAAACTCCCATTTAGTGAGAATATATGATATACAAAATATCAATGGGTGCTTATATATGCTGTTAGTATTCATCCGGACAGTGTAGTTCCTTTGTTAATTCCCAAGCTTCTCTGTATAAGATGTTCTATCTGCAGGAAACAGCTACAGCAACAGGAATAAAGAAGGAACAAGTTGGCACTAAGAAGCATGAACTTCTCTAGTGTCTTCAAGTCCGAGGCTCGTTACTCTGTTGCCTCTTTTACCTCATCATCTGTTTTACCTCATCATCTTTTACCTCATCATCTGTTGCCTCTTTTACTTCATCTTTCACCTCAACTGAAAAAATATTTTGTTTTTACCTCATCTGTTTTTACCTCATCATCTTTTACCTCATCATCTGTTGCCTCTGTTACCTCATCTTTTACCTCAACTGAAAAAATACTTTGTTTCCACAGCTAGTATTATGTTTGTTATTTCAGAGATCAGTGAAGTTCAGGGATGTGGCCATAGACTTCTCCCAGGAAGAGTGGGAGTGCCTGGACTCTGCTCAGAGGGATTTGTATAGAGACGTGATGTTGGAGAACTTTAGTAACTTGGTGTCACTAGGTAAGATGTCTCCCCTAGGATCTGCCTTGAGAATGGCTACTTTCTCTGCTGTTATTCCAGGTTGTTTTAAAGTAATCTACTGAACTTACTATTATTCTCAGAGGAATGATTTTAAATTCCTGGAAGTAGATGTATAGATGGTTGCAGGCGACACATGACTCCTCTCCACCTTTCACACAGAATTATCTTCTTTCTACTTTCCTGTCTTTCTTGATGATCAAGGGAATAGATTTGAATTCTGGGGCGCATGCAGTATTTTCAGAAAAAAAATTGGCTATCTGTTGTTACAAGTTTGATCTGCTAAAGGAGCTGTAAATATTAAAGTAGTCATAGATGCAGAAATATATGGATTTTCTGATAACAGAAGCGCTTGTACCATTTATGGAGAGATAGGGTAGACCAGTGCATGTCACTAACAATGCAAGTGAACACAATGCGTTACAACAAATACATTTTCTTATTTCTGTTTTGCAGTTGACTATTACATTTTAAGAACTGTGCATTTTGCATTGGATGAGTTTCTACCTGTTATTAGAAAACAGCACAGGAAGAACCTGTGATTATCTAAGAAAATTTGTTTTTCCTTGAAAGTAAGGGATGGAGCATCTAGCAATTAAAATGTTAATAAGTGTTCTTGTCACATAATGATTACTTTATTCTTTAGACTCTTCTGGTCACTAGAATATAACTGTCTTTTGTCCCTTTGTTCCTTTTTCCTCTGAAATCTTTATGAAATTATTAGTTGCTACCCTTCCTTGTAGGTTCCAGGTCTTGTAAAGAAAAGATCTTTGACTTTGACTTGAGAAGAAAGCCAGGGCTCTTTATCTCGATTGCCCTAAGGAACCCCACCTATTCACCACTACTACTCCCTGTTGGTCTTTTATGAGACTACTTTCCATTTTCAAAAGAAAAAGGGACTTCCTTTTCCCCAGGGACAGTCTTTATATATAAACTTTGATATAATCTTTTCCAGATTTTTTATTTTGTATTTAGACTTATATCATGGTCTCCGTTCTTAAATAGTCATGGGTTCATTCATTCAAACTGTTTATTGAGGGCCTGTTCTGAGGCAAGGACTGTTATTTATAGCTGTGTGATATCAGTTGTTTACTAGATTGATTGTTGTGATCATAATATATACAATTTTCAGATCATGTTGTATACCTGAAAGTAATACAGTTCTGTATGTCAAGTATACCTCAGTTAAAAAGACATGTCAACCATCAAGAATATTTTGTATTTCAAATAATTAAAAATAGGTGAGCGCCCAACCCTGGTATCTGTCAATTTGTGGCTAAAGAGTAGGATAACATATTCCTGTGATTGCTGTGAGTTTAAGTGTTTGGGGAGTATTCCTACCTATATTGACCCTGTAGTCATTATCATTATTGTTTGTGTCACTTAGTAGATACATACTTAACAACAGCTAAATCGAATGAATGTCTCCTCTTCCCTAGGACAGCATAAAAGATCTTAAAATGTTTTCACTTTATCAGTCTTTTCATATAATATGTTATTGTTGTCTGGTATTTTAATTCTGTTTTCTTTTTGACTCCCAAAGTAGGTATTATTTCTGACTTATGATCACAATATTTGCTTAGAGACTTATTCACATGATTAGCCTTTTATTTGTACACTATTTCTCTTCCATTATAACTTCCTACAGTGTCATTTTACTTATTATGAAGTATATTTGGCAAAGCTTATCGTTAGTAAATGCTGCTTTTATTTATTGTTGCAGAATAATCTGATTTCACTTTCATTCTTGCCTGATAATTTAACTGCGATGTGAATTCTGTACTATTATTTTTTTCTCAGCACTCTGAAGATACTATTCCACTGTCTTCTGGCTTCTAGTGTTGCTCTTGCGAAGTCTGCCATCTGTCTCATTGTTGTTCCTTTTGTAAGTAATCTGTATTTTCTCTCCAACTGCTTTTAAGAATTTTTTCTCTAATATTTTGATTGTTCTCTTTCTAGATGGATGATATCTCTCGTCCCTAGATTTACTTTTCTTCTTCTATATTGTCACCTTACAATAGTTTGATTTTCATGTATTTCAGCCATTCATATGTATCATTCAGAAATTCCAGTTTCTAGGGAATAGGTCTAAGTCTGCAGTTTTTGCTTTCAATGGGCGTATTTATGTCATGAGAATTATTCATAGCATTTTTTTCTGCTTTTCCTTGAATATAGGCCAAGACTGAAATGTTCCTTGTAAGTTTCCTTTGAGACCAGGTGGATTTTTTTTTTCCTTTAATGTAAGTCTTAGGTAAATCTGATTTTTTGAAGAGGTTCAGTTTTTTGTTGTTTTTTTTTTTTTTTTAAGATTTATTTATTTATTTTATACAAGAACTGGGGTACAGGTCAGAAGCGCAGGAGGGTGAGAGAATTCACCAGAGCCAGAGCAGGGAGCAGAACAGGAAGACGGAGCAAAGACCCTGCTGAGGTGAGCAGCAGGCGAGGCAGGAGAGGTCTACTTCGCCATGTGGGGTTCTCCCTGGCCGGAGGGGAATCAAACTGGCTCTGCAGAGGCTGTGGACAGCTTCATAGCATGGCGCTCTACCGCTGCGCCACCGGGGAGGCCCAGGAGGTTCAGTTTTAACCCCTGATGTTTTGTTGACCCAGGGCTTAATTGAAGTCAGTCAGTGTCCTGAAGATAGCCGTGACATCAGAATGTTTCACTCTGCTTTCTGGTTCTCACGTCACTGTGCCACCATTGATCTTCTTTACTTTGGTTTATGCATATCCTACTTTTAAAAGGATGTTTGTCATAGCTTATGCAGAATTTCATGTGTTTTCAGGAAATCTGATGTAATATTCTTATTTACAGTATTTAAATTTTTTTGTCTTTTTGCATGCTATATATACTTTTTATGTTCTTTTGTGATATTTCACTTTTCACAAGGTCTTTTACATTTGTTGTTAAGTAATTTCTCCTGTACTTTATAAATTTTGATGATATAATGAATAGGAATATTTTGTCCTATGACATTTTCTAAATGGTTTATGCTGATATTAGTATATATCTCAAAGTATTGATTTCTATAAGTTGATAATAACCTTACAGAAATACCTAAGTTTTTCAGTGAATAGTATTGGATTTCTAGGTAGATAATTTGGCTCTCCACATATACTATCTCTTCCTGTTCTACTTGTACCATTTTTTTTAAAACTATTTAGTAAGATCTATTTGAATATTTCACATTTAAAACAAGTAATTCTTGTCTTTTTTAAACTGGGAGTGTTTCTAATGTTTAATTCTTAAATATCCTTCTATAGATTTCTGGTAAATACTCTTAAATAGGTTAAGGAATAGCCAACTCTTGTCTTACAGCTTTTAATAAAGAGCCTTAAAATGGGTTTTCTCATGTTGAACTATTCTGGAATTTCTGGGATTAACCTTATTGGCTCATCTGTTAGTCCTTAACTACAAAGATTCTATGTTGCTGATACTTTAAAATTTTACCCATGTGTGTTCATGAGATTGGTTTAGTTTTTCTGAGTTCTGTCCAGTTTTGTTTTCTAACTTAATTTAACTTTGTAAAATGACTTCATTTGGATAGCCTTCCATATTTTTAGATGTTCAACAACAGTTATGTATGATTAGAATTACATATTCTTTAATACTTGGGTGAATTTGCCAGTAATACCATCCGTCATCAATATCCACTTCCTGTCAGAAGTACAGACATGAAACTCAAATTTAAAACTTTTATGTTGTTGTTGGTGTGTTCTCAGATGTTCTCTCTTTGTGGTCATTTCTTATTTTCATCCACTTCATCTCATTTTTCTAATTTGTTCTTAAGTTGTATATAGGTTTTTTCATAAATTCATTTTAAGTCTTTGGGATTTATGTCCTTCCTTTACCTTTCCAGTACTTTGGTTTTATCACCAATCTGATTTTTTTCTACATGTCAAATTTTTGTATCATTTTTGGTATTTGCAAAGAATTGATTTAATTTTACTAGTCACTTATTTCTAAATTCTGGTTTACTTAACTTCTGACACGGGCCTCTGGTTTTCATGTACAGGTTTAGTTCTTTCAGTTTCCTGTTTTCTTGACCTAAAGAAATGGCAGTAGTGGGGCCTCCCCGGTGGCGCAGCGGGTTGAGCGCTGTGCTGTGGAGCTGTCCGCAGCCTCTGAAGTGCGGGTTTGATTCCCAGCCGGCCAGGGAGATTCCCACATGGCATGACAGACCTCTCCTGTCTAGCCTGCTGCTCCCCTCAGCAGTGTATTTCAGTAGATCTGCCTGTTCTGCTCCCTGCTCTGTCTCTGGTGAATCCTCTCACCCTCCTGTACCTCTGGCCTGTACCCCAGTTCTTGTATAAAAGTAAATAAATCTTTTAAAAAAATGGCAGTACTATCGATGCACAAAGAAGAGCAAATACTGGGATTTAAGCATTTTTCCTGGCTTTCTAAAGACTTATGCAGACACAAGGGCTAGGTACCCATTACTAAAATCTTTTTTAACTCGATGTATTTTCTTCGTGATTTGGCCCCAATTCTCTGCTACTTATTTTTTCAATTATTTATTTTTATGTAGAAAAACTGGGATGTGGGCCAGAGGTGCAGGGGGTGAGAGGATTCACCAGAGACAGAGAGGGGAGCAGAACAGGTAGATCCACTGAAATACACTGCTGAGGGGAGCAGCAGATGACACAGCAGAGGTCTGTTATACCATGTGGGTTAGCTCCCTGGCTGGGGATCCAACTCTGGCCACAGTGGTGATAGCTCCCCAGGCCACCAGGGAGGCCCTCTCTTCAACTTTTTTACAAAACTTCTCATAAGAATTTTCCATGCTTCCAGTGGGTCTTAAATCAGAACTTGGCCCCAAAACTACCTTATGAGGATCACTGGAACATTCATATTGTTAAAGCCTTTATTAAATTAGCAGTCACCGTTTCACCTCAGCTCAGCATTTGACACAATTTTCACTTGATTATCCCTCCTTATAACACTTTCTTCACTTGGTTTCTTAGATTCTATATTCCTAATTTTTCTCCCTCCTCATTGGCAGCTCCTTATTAGTCTGCTTTGCTGGTTCAATCTCATCTCCCTGCCCTCCAAATGTGGGTGGTGCCCCAAGACTTAATCCTCAAACTTTCTTTTCATTCTCTTCTATTGACAAAGACTTCCTAGGGGACCTCCTCAAATTCCATAGCTTTAAATGTCATCTGGTTGTTGATGATCCCTTATTTGTATATATACCAGCCTACTCAACATTTTCTTTTTCTTTTTTTAAGATATATTTATTTATGCATACAAGAGCTAGGGTACAGGCCAGAGGTGTTGGGGGTGAGAGGATTTACCAGAGACAGAGTGGGGAACAGAACAGGCAGACTGACTGAAATACACTGCTGAGGGGAGCAGTGGGAGAGTCAGGAGAGGTCTGCTGCGCCATGTGGGTAGCTCCCTGGCCAGCTGGGGGATCGAACTCGTGCTGCAGAGGCTGCAGACAGCGTCATAGGTTGCATCTTAACCCCTTGCGTCACCAGGGAGTCCCTCAACATTTTCTTTATGATGCCCTATACTTGTTGATATTCTCTTCCAAACCTGCTCCTACTACAATAAGTTGTCAGTATATCTTACTTACATTGTTCCAGATGCTCAGGCAAGACACTTAGTTTTCCTTGATTTCTCTCGTTTACATGTCCAATCCACCATCAAGTCATCTTCATTATACCTTCAAAACATGTCCAAAATCCACTGACATCTAATTTTCTCTACCCTCTTCTGCCATATTCCCTGATAAGAGCCGGATAAATCATTGCTATAGCCGCTTAATTTCTATTCTGTACTTTCCCATGATTATTTTTTTAATATAAACAAAGCAAACAATGATTCCTTGGGCCTCCCCTGGTGGCGCAGCGGTTAAGCGCTGGGCTGAGAGGCTGCCCGCAGCCTCTGCAGCGCCGGTTTGTTCCCTGGCCGCCGGCGAGGGTCCTACAAAAAAAAAATGATTCCTTAAAAAAAAAAAGTCATACCTTTTCATGCTACTTATGTAACTCTCCAGTGGCTCCCCATCTCGGAATAAAATTCTAATTACTCTAAATGGCCAAAACTAAGACGTGCCTTGTCATTTTCCTTTGAGGTCAGATGATATCTTTTCCTCCCTGTAACTTTAGTCCTTCAATGTTTCCAATTTTGTAGTTTATTCCTAATTTCTGTCTTACAGCTCACCTAAGGCCTTATCTCTTGAAATTTTTTAGACCATTAGGTACAGATGTAGGTAACTATAGACTACAAATGCCCGAGGGTAGCAGTGGCTTCAAAACTTGTTACCCTTCTAGTTTCTGGTTCTTTCTTCATTGTAACTCTTACTCTAAACGTGGTGTGCTTTTAGAATGTTTTTTGTCATGTTTTATCCCACACTTATTGGTATTATTCTGGAAATTGGATGCATTTATCTATCAAGTGTATCCACGATCACAGTCATAATATACAACAGTTTCTTTGCACCCTCAAATTACCTCATACTGTCCCTTTGTTGTGAAAACAGTTACTGAGCCATTCTCCATCCCTGTAGCTTTGCCTTTTCCAGAATGTCATATTAATGAAATCAATATATATAGTCTTTGGGGTCTGACTTTTTGCTCTTACTAAAATTCATTTAAGATTTATCCATATGGGGCCTCCCCGGCGGCGCAGCGGTTGAGCGCTGGGTTGCGAAGCTGCCTGCAGCCTCTGCAGCGCCGGTTCGATCCCCGGCTGCTCCCTGGCCACCGGAGGAGGGTCCCGCATGGCGCGCAGACCTCTCCTGCCGCCCGCTGCTCCCCTCAGCAGTGTACTTGGGTCCTTCTGCCTGCTCTGCTCCCCGCTCTGGCTCTGGTGAATCCTCTCACCCTCCCGCGCTTCTGACTGTACCCAGTGCATGTATAAACAAAACAAACAAACAAACAAACAAATAAAAAAAAATGCCTCTATAAAAAAAAAATTAAAAAAAAAAGATTTATCCATATGGTTGCATGAATCAATAGTTTGTTCTATATATTGCTTAATAATATTCCATTGTATGGAAATACCAAAGTTTTGTTGACTCATTTATTTTTTTTTTGAAAAACATCTGAGTTTCCAATTTTTTGCAATTATGAATAAAGTTGCTATAATTTTTGGTGTACAGATGTCAGTCTAGACATAAGTATAAGTACCTATGAATATGACTGCTGGATTATATGCTAACTGTATGTTTAACTTCATAAGAAACAACCAAACTTTTTTTATTTTATCATGGTTGTATTGTTTCACATTCCTACAAGCAGTGTTTGAGTCTTTCTGTGTCCTTTATATTTCCATTCAACATACTCTTTATTAGAATTCCTGGAATTTTGTCACTCCAGACTCCTCCTCTCGTGTTCAATAATTGCATTTTTCTCTCCAATATCCCCAACATTCCATAAGACTACAGAAAGCTTCCATTATGTCTTTGACCTATAGCAGTGCTGAGAAATGCTAAAGCTATTCTTCTGGGATGAACAAGTAGAATTGGCCTTGGATAGAAGAAAAAAAGATGTCATAAGAGAAGACATGAAACAGGGCAGAAAGAAACACAACAGACTGTGAAATAAAGAATCAAAAGCAACTTGATATCTTGGTTGAAAAGGATAAGGAGGAACTAAAGAAGATAACCATGACTAGTAGACCTAGGAAGCAGTGTGCAAGAGACAAGGCAATTGGAGAGGTATATTTTTAATTTTTCCATTTTTATCTTAGATTCACTAGGGATGCATTTTTTTTTTTAAGATTTTATTTATTTATTTATTTATTTATTTATTTATTTATTTATTTATTTATTTATACAAGCACTGGGTATAGTCAGAAGTGCGGGAGGATGAGAGCATTCACCAGAGCCAGAGCGGGGAGCAGAACAGGCAGACTGACGAAGTGCACTACTGAGGGGAGCAGCGGGCACGGCAGGAGCGGCCTGTGCGCCATGTGGGACCCTCACTGGCGGCCGGGGATCAAACCAGCGCTGCAGAGGCTGTGGGCAGCTTCGCAGCCCAGCGCTCAACTGCTGTGCCACCGGGGAGGCCCAGGGATGCATTTTTGTTTCCATCTATAAGGAGTTGTTGGGGGAAGCCACAGCTAAGTTAGTTTTAGGCATCTACCCCTAAGGTGAGGAGAGCTTCACTACAAAGGAACAGCACAAGAGTACAGAGGACAGACTGTTGTGTATCATTTACTGTGGTGGGAGATACATGACTTGAGCCCTTTAGATCTGTTTTTATGTGTGTGCGTTTTCTCCTGTCTCTCAGTTAAGTTCTTGTACCCTCATTCGCCCTAGTTATTTTTTTGTTGAGCACCAGACATTGTAAAGAAGAAATTACAAAGGTAATTTAAAATCTTAGATGATATTACATGTCTTCAATGAAGATGTGGCTTTAGTTATGGTGGTCTAGAATTAACTTTATCCAAATTTCTGGGTTTGAGATGATTCAAAGATGATTCAGGCTTCAGACTCTGCCCAGCCTAGTCTAATGTTTCTCTGTTGATTTCTCATTGTAGTCCTCTGGGTACCCAGCCTAAAGTATGGTGAATTTATGATGGTCCCTCATTCTCCAGTTGTCACCCAAATGCAACGAAGTGGTTCAAATTACCACTAAGTTTCTCCATCTCCATTGCTTTTTCTAGAATTGTAGGATTTCCCTAACTGGTCCCAAATGTGGCTTATTTCTCTTGAGTTTTCAACTTTTCAACTTCAGTTTTCCTTTATTCCAATATTAACTTTTCATGCTTTCAGTCAAGTGCTTTTTATATGCTGTCCAATTTGTCTAATTGCTCTCATCACAAAGATTGTTCTAAGTAACTTAGTCTTCTGTTACCAGAAATGGATGCTTAAGATTCAGAACTGATAATTAAATTGAAATTGGAAGAATGGTTAAGTGTCAGTTTGTATGGAGGATTTTATGCAGAGTAGTCCAAAGACATGGAGTAGGCTCTTGCTAGTTCTAAGTTGAAATTGGCTTTGTGACTTTTTCATATTAACAGTTAGAAGAAATGTAATATGCTTGGCAAATAGCAAAAATGAGAAGGTTCATGGGGAAATCAGAACCAAACCATGGAGGGCTTTGTCAAAGTCATTTGGATTTCATTCTAAGTTTAATTGGGAAGATATTGAAAAGTTTTAGCTGAGATAGAAAATCACTATCAGAATCTGAATCAGCCTCACTTGGTAGAAAGTATGAAGACTGGAGAGCCACTTTTTTTCTGAGTAAGTAAATTCATTTAGCCTGATGTAGCATCTTCAGTTTTAACCAGCCTCCCCCAAGTGATTTTGCTTCCCACTAAAAGTTTGAGAATCACTGACTTAAAAAAAATTTTAATCTGTTCCCTTATCTCCTAAGTAGATAAGTTTTCATTGTTCTCTGATCTCTCATATGTTAATAAAGGTTAATAAATAAGGTAATTTTAAGCTAATATTTTTTCAGAATCTAGGTAGCAACACAATACTATATCATCAAGTGAATTTAGTGGGTCTTGACAGGATATGTCAAAGTCTTCCCGAGAGAGAGAACTAGAATAGAATAGAAAACAGGCTAGGTATTATTTTGTGAAACTGTATATTACAATAGGTTATGATATGAAAACTAAGTAGGTATTACCATAGACCATAATAAATAACTGAAAGACACTGATATAAGCCAGCTATTTCTTATGGGTGATATTTCCCCCATATGTTTTTCCCTATATTCTTTTCGAGTAAGTTCTGCTTCTGAAATGACAACAGAAACATTTGATGTTCTTTTATCTTTCAGACTTGCCTTCAAAGTGTGCAAATAAGACTTCTCCCAAAAAGGACACTTATGAAACAGAATTATCCCAATGGGAAATGAGTGACAGGCTTGAAAACTGTGATCTTGAAAAGTCCAGTTGCAGAGATTATTTGGAAGTCAAAAGCATACTGGAAAATCAGCAAGAAAATCAGGAATATTTCAGGCACGGGATGATCATATATGAAAAAATGTCCATTTTCAACCAGCATAATTATTTGTCTCAACATCCCAGATGTCATTCTACTGAGAAACCCTATAAATGTAAGGAATGTGGGAAGGCCTTTAGACGAGCCTCACACCTAACTCAACATCAGAGTATTCATACTGGGGAAAAACCCTATGAATGTCAGCAATGTGGAAAGGCCTTCAGTCGTGATTCACAGCTCAGTCTTCATCAGAGACTTCATACTGGTGAGAAACCCTATGCATGCAAGGAATGTGGGAAGGCCTTTACCCAGAGCTCACAACTTATTTTACATCATAGAATTCATACTGGTGAAAAACCATATAAATGTGAAGAATGTGGGAAAGCTTTTATTCGTAGCTCACAACTCACCCGACATCAGAAAGTCCATACTGGTGAGAAACCATACGAATGTAAAGAATGTGGGAAGGCCTTCACTCAGAACTCACAGCTTACTTTGCACCAGAGACTTCACACTGGTGAGAAACTCTATGAATGTAAAGAATGTAGAAAGGTCTTTACTCAGCTCTCACAACTTATTCTGCATAAAAGAATTCATACTGGTGAAAAGCCCTATGAATGCAAGGAATGTGGGAAAGCTTTTATTTGTGGCTCACAACTTTCTCAGCATCAGAAAATTCATAATGGGGAAAAGCCCTATGAATGTAAAGAATGCGGGAAGGCCTTTATTCGTGGCTCATTACTTATGCAACATCAGAGGATCCACACTGGTGAAAAACCCTACAAATGTGAAGAATGTGGGAAGGCCTTTATCCGTGGCTCACAACTTACTCAACACCAGAGAATTCACACTAATGAGAAGCCCTATGAATGTAAGGAATGTGGAAAGACCTTTAGCCATGGTTCCCAACTTACTCAGCATCAGAGAATTCACACTGGTGAAAAACCCTATCAGTGCAAGGAATGTGGAAAGGCCTTTAATCGTGGCTCACTCCTTACTCGACATCAGAGAATCCACACCGGTGAGAAACCCTACGAATGTAAAGAATGTGGAAAGACCTTTAGTCGTGGCTCAGAACTTACGCAACATGAGCGAATTCACACTGGTGAGAAACCCTACGAATGTAAGGAGTGTGGGAAGTCTTTTATCCGTGGCTCACAGCTCACTCAACATCAGAGAATCCATACTGGTGAGAAACCCTATGAGTGTAAAGAGTGTAGAATGGCCTTTACTCAGAGCTCTCATCTTTCTCAGCATCAGAGACTTCATACCGGTGAGAAACCCTATGTATGTAATGACTGTGGGAAGGCCTTTGCTCGTGGCTTACTGCTTATACAGCATCAGAGAATTCATACAGGTGAGAAACCGTATCAGTGTAAGGAATGTGGAAAGGCCTTTATTCGTGGCTCACAACTTACTCAACATCAGCGAATTCACACTGGAGAAAAACCTTATGAATGCAAGGAATGTGGGAAAGCCTTTAGTCACGGCTCTCAACTTACTCTACATCAGAGAATCCATACTGGTGAGAAGCCCTATGAATGCAAAGAATGTAGAAAGGCCTTTACTCAGAGCTCACATCTTTCTCGACATCAGAGGGTTCACACTGGTGAGAAACCTTATCAATGTAAGGAATGTGGGAAAGCTTTTACTCGTGGTTCACAACTAACTCAACATCAGAAAATTCATGTCAGTGAAAAATCTTTTGAATATAAAGAATGTGGGATAGATTTTAGTCATGGTGCACAGTTATTTGAGTCTTTGTGATTGATATAAAGAGCCTTCCCTGGTCATTAATCCTTTATCAGATAATTCTTATATGAGTATGGGAGTACATTTGCCTCATAAAAGCCAGAAGTGATGAATTTATGTGGCAGAAAGATAGCGTTATTCATGTAGAAAAAAGATATTGCAGGAAACAAATTAAATTTATCAACAGAGAATAGTTCTGTTGTGTAGTAAAGATAGGAAGACCTTAGCCATAGCATATATGTCTTTTGCAAAATTATCTTCATGCTACCACTTGCTTTTCTTTGTGACATTCATCATAATTAACCTCTGTTTTGGTTTACTCATTTGTAAGATGGGCCTAAGAATAATACTTTCTTTATTAGGTTCTTGGGAGTATTATGTGAATTATTACATGTAAAGCCTTAGTGCCTTGAACATAGCATTTCACAAATATTAGCTATCACTATTATTAGTGTTATTTTAGATTTTTTGCATGAGAGAAGGACATTTAGGAGTGTAAGGGATATTAAGGAATTTTTCATTAATGTTTAACCCCAATTATTTGACTGGGGGCCACTGTATGCTATAAAATATAAGAAAGCTTTCATTCAGGTATCATCCCATATACTTAAGAGGAAATTCATGCTGTAAAAAAGAACTCTGTAGATTTAATAAGTGAGTTGTTGAAGAGGTATAAGGTGATTGTAACAAAGCCCAGAAAACTTGTATTTTCTACCATCTCTGACCACAATTCAAGATTATTTAGAAATGAAAAAAAAAAAAAAATGGATAGCCAAATTCTACAAGAAAATATTTAGAAATAGGAACATACAACTTTCATATTAAAATAGATTAGAATTTAAGCTAAAAATCAGAATCAACATTACAGACCACTTTGCAATAAAAAAAAAATTATAAGTGTGTGTCAGAGACTGCTATTTCCCTACCCAAGATCTATTTTCCCTTATTAGTCACAGAAATCTTCACTGAAAAACTGGCTTGGCCTACTTTGTAGGTCAACAAGATGGAAACATGTTTGTATGAGTAGGGAATTTAAGAAAACCTTTTCCCTCAGCACTTCTTTCCCTCCTCCACCCCCTTTTTGTCCCCCGTCTACAATGTGGACATTCAATCTGCAGTTCTGGCAGTTTCATGAGGACTTTGAGAATGGTATTAAGGGTGGTGAACAGAAGTACAGAATGATTCTACACCTCTGCTGGTGTGCAACAGCCGTACCAACTCTGGTCTGTCTGTCTCCTGTAGTTCTTCGTATAAAATTAAAATAAACGTATTTGTTGATTCTGTTGTTCTGTTATTGACGCTCAAAATTATTAAGTATATTAACTTTTATACCCAGAAGTGGAGTGCTGTGAGTAAAAGAAACCTCAAATGTGTCATTAACTAAGGCTAATGAGGATCTACCTGTTTGGCCTAATAAATGGAAAATCCTTGATTTTATAGACAGGACGTTTTGTCGGATGCACACTCTATCTACCAGGTCAACATTGTGGCAGTCAAGGCAGTCATGTTAAGGGAGATGGTAGGAGTGAGTCAGAAAGTGTTGGAGACTTCTTGTTGCCTTCTGAATGTCATGCAAAAAGAGAGAACTTTAGTGAAAAGTTGGAAACAGAAGCTACTAGCAGAGATTGAAAGTGATGTTTTTTTGTTCAGACATGCTCAATCCAGATTTATGGTAAAGTATATAATTTTGAACTTTGAGGGATTCAAATGCCAAACTAATTCTCTACCCTTAATTTAAGGCACATATAGTGATTTAAAATCACAGCCTAAACCAGAAGTGAGTCCCCTACCTATCTACATAAGGGCAGTGAATTTGCCAGCAAACATTAGTTTAAAATGCTTTCCCCATCCAAGCCTATTGTTCTAAAATTAGCCATATAGAGCAAGTGCTTATTATATTCCATCTATCTTAGTTCTTTGGGATATATCAATAAGCAATTCCGTCTGGAGGAAAAGGATAGTAAGTTGTAGAGTATGTTTGAACATAAATGTTATGGGGGAGCAGTCATTCAAAGGAGTTCATAGGGATATGACAGCATAGGGTGCTATATGAAATAGAATGATCAGGGTAGACTTGAGAAGGCAAGATCTGAGTCATGATTTCAATGTGAAGAAGGAATAAGTGGTCATCAAAGGAAAGAGCATTCCAGGCAGGGGAATGTAATTTTCCCCAGGATATACATGTATATATAAAACCACGTTATAAAAATACATACACATACCTAAAATGTAATATCTCTTTTAACATTTGCTTTTAAATATATGTGTATATACATGCATACACATATATTGCATATTCCATTAAGTGCCTTTCTGCTTCACTTACTTATTTTGGCAATCATTACAGTTTCAATTGCTGCATAACCACCACCCCAAACTTGGCTTAATGTGCAGTGATTATTTATTTAGCTCACCCATCTACCAAAATCAGTACAGGAATTTGCAGCAACAGTTCATCTCAGATTCATATAGCAATAGATTGGGTGGCTTGAAGACTAGGGGTGTCTTGATGGCTGAAGGTTGGAATTGTCTGAAAACACACTTGGTTACATATCTGGCAGTTAATTCTGGCTGTCAATTGGACCTCGGTGTTCAGCCAGAATACCTAAATGTGGTACCGTATGTGGCACTTAGCATGGTGACTTGGGTACCAAGAGTGTATCCCGAAGGACCAGGTGACGTACATGTAGTTTTATGATCTGAACTCAGAAATCGCATCACTTGCACGATACTCCATTGGTTGAGCCAGTCACAGCTCAATGAAAAAAGTGTCACATTGTAAGGAGAGCTTGCAAATTGGGAAATATTGTGGCTGTCTCTGAAAAATATAATCTGCCATAAAGAAGCTTCCATACCTAGCCATGTAGTCATGTAATCCCACTTCTACAATTTTCTACTGGTTTAAACAGTTGATCTAAATGGAAAAATCTCACATTGTAAGTAGAGCATATGGGGTGGGGTATAAACTTTGGTGAGCATTTTTGGAAAATACATTGTCCATGTCTCATACATGGAGTTCCCTTATTTTTATATTGGTAATTTTAATAGCTGCATAATGTCCTTTTGTGGTTGTATTATAATTTTGGCAAAGTGCCAAAAATTCTCACTTCTCCTTTGCCCAGCTACCCAGGTAGGTACTTAATTTCCTATTCTCTCTTGCTAATAGTGACTACGGATAAGTAAAACATTAGAAGTGATATGTAACTTCCCTCTCATGTTCAAGAACCAATTTCCATAAGATGGTAGCAATAAACTCCAATTCATCATTAATCACAATTAATATACTTAATGTGGCTATGAAAGATATGTTACTTCTAAATCTAAGGTATAGTATAAAGATATTCTGAAATATGGTCAAAGAGTATAAGAAGTAAAAGAACTGGGCCTCCCCGGTGGTGCAGCTGTTGAGTGCTCGGCTGAGAAGCTGCCCGCAGCCTCTGCAGAGCCAGTTTGATCCCTGGCCAGCTGGCCAGTGAGGGTCCCACATGGCGCGCAGACCTCTCCTGCTGCGCCCGCTGCTCCCCTCAGTCGTGTATTTCATCAATCTGCCTGTTCTGTTCCCCGCTCTGGCTCTGGTGCACTCTCTCACCCTCCCACACTTCTGACTGTACCCAGTGCTTGTATAAATCAATCAATCAATCTTTTAAAAAAAAAAATGTAAAAGAACTTGGGAGTGAGCTAAGGGAGAGTATCCCAGGAAGGATAAATTTTGAAGGTGAGCCCTCCCCCCACATCTTTTAGTCTGAGGTTCAGGCTTCACAGGTGGTTTCAGCCTATGGTGGGCTGCTTGGCGAGAGCCAATCTAAAGTCACTCAGCAAGCACGGAACAAACCTTTGAAACACAATGAAGTTACGATGGTAGAATTGGGGTACAGATGCCAACCCCGGAAGACACTGTCAGCACTGAGAGGGCCGTGGGTAACCTCCAGGACACAGGTGGCTCTCAGTTGGTTCCAGGTCTCTGGGGCATCAGAGGCCACTGTGGCCCAAGGACTACAGTGCACAATGTGTCACACAGGTGTCCTGTTGGCCTTGGCTGAGGTGCACAGTTGTCAAGGTTCAAATATGTTCCTTAGGTACACAGATGGGACAGGGCCCCACCGAGTGTTCTTATAGCCCCACCCCACTAAATAACCATGCAAGAGGGACAAGAAAAGGCAAAACAGCACAACAGGACCAACACAGAGTCTACTGAAAAGCTGAGTAGTGTATTCCCTGAGGGAGAAAATGCACACAAGTCAGACCATTACAGCAGAGCAGGTACTGAAATTTCAATTTGGAGCTGAGGCAGCGAAGTGGTAACAGGCACAACAGCGGATAAATATATTGAAAATATAAAGCTTTAGGCAGGAAAAAAAACTCAAGACTGAAAAAAAGGGAGAAATGCACAAACGGGTATTTCACAGAAGAAAAAGTATAAATGATCAATAAATGTAAGTTGTTCATCCTTGTAACCAGAAAAATGTGAGCCAGAACTACACTGAGTCACCTCACCAATATCACTAATATCCATCATCAAGTTAAGCTGATAAATAACAAACATTGGTGAGGATTGGAGAATAATTGGTGAGAATTATTGGTGAGATTGGTGAGAATAAAAATTTATAATTACTTTGGAGAAATAGACAGGATGTATTAATTTTAAAGATATACAAGCCAAATAACAGTATAGACAGTATTTAGTACACAGGCATATAATAAATAAATTCCCTATGGAAAACTAACTCAGATATACCAGGGCATAAATTTAAGTAAGTTTTACTTTGATCTTAGATCTTGTTTTACTTTGATCTTATATCTAATATATATATATGTAAATATATAAATAAATATATATGTATATATTTAGTCTAATATAATCTAATATATAAATGTATAAACATGTATACATATATAAATATGTGTATATGTACATATATAAATAAATATATGTATATATTTAGCCTATTTCACACACTGACAACAGAATACACATTCTTTTCAGCACTCAAAAACATTCACCAAGATAGATAATATACTGGGTCCTAAAACAAACACCAACAAACAAAAAAGAATTGAAATCACAGAGTATGTTCCTGGATCATAATGCAATCAAACTAGAATCACTCACAACAGGAAAAACTTCAAACACTTGGAAATTAAGCAACATATTCTAAGCAACCCATAGATCAAAGTCTCCAGGGAAATAAAATATGTATTGAATTGAATGAAACTGAAAGTACACAAAATATTCAGAGCAGTAATATCAAAAACTTAAAACAATGCAGATGTCCCTCAGCAGTGAATGTTAAACAAACCACGGTAAACCATACCATGGAATAGTACTCATTATGGAAAAAAATCTATTAAATAGAAGAATGATACATAGAACAACTGGGAGTAATCTCCAGGGATTTATGCTGACTGAAACAAAGTCAATCTCAGTAGGTTACATACTGTATTACTCCATTTCTATAACATTTAAAATGCAAAAACAGGGGCCTCCCTGTTGGCCGAGGGGTTAAGTCTCAGCACTATCATGTCTAAGGCCTGAGTTTGATCCCCGGCCAGGGAGCAACCCACATGGTGCTGCAGACCTCTCCTGTCTCACGCACTGCTCCCCTCAGCAGTGTATTTCAGTAGATCTGCCTGTTCTGTCCCCCACTCTGTCACTGGTGAGTCCTC